AAAGTGGAGTTATTAAGGGAGGTCTTTTTTGCAGAAGGTTCAGCCGTGAAGGCAAGATGGGGTGCAGGTGTGTGTGTGTGTGTGTGTGTGTGTGTGTGTGTGTGTGTGTGTGTATGTGTAGGAGGGTTTGGGGCAGTAGAGTCTGCTTTAAGGTGGAGATCTCAGTGAGGCAAGTGCCAGACAGTGATGTGAGGACCCTGAGCAGAGGGGTGGGGGTGGGGCATCCAGAGTCCCCAGGGAGGAGGGCTCAGGTTTACTTGTGCTTGATCTTGTATAAACCAGAAGTTCTGAGAGACAGCGGGGCCTGGTCCAGCAGGCCGTGCCTCCTCCTTCCTTTATGTGTGGAGCATCAACCAAGATGGTAAGCTATCCTCCTAGGTGCTGGGGATTCAAAAACCTGGTAAGACCTGGTTCTTGTATTTGAGTTTTCAGGTTATAAAAAGATTTTGCAAAAAAAAAATAAAAATTGGAAAACAGGGTAATAAGAGGTATAATCAGGGCATGGACAAAGGGGCAGGGAAAAGGGTGCCTTGTACCTGGGTACATCGCATATGATCCCCTAGATGGGCCTCAAAAAGCCATCTTTATTCCGATGAGGACCCAAGGCATTTTGTCCTGGGAGTAAACATGGGTTCTCTAGTTATACCCCATTATTGCGAATTCCGTCAAAAGCAAGAAAAAGGCAGAATTGGCAGTTAGGTGCACAGATGCATGTACACCCCCCAAAATACTTAACCACGAAGGCAGAAATCCTCCTTAAAAGAAAATGGAAATTCTTAAAGGTCACACCAATTCAGATTACAGTAGTAGGGATCTAATTGCTGTCAACTGAATTGAGTTAGGGCCTAACAGCAGCTAATCTCTTTAGTGGGGAGATCCAAAAATACACACCGACACTTATCTTTGTATTTCTAAGGAGACCAGACAGGTAAACTGACCAGCAGTGCTGTAGGCTGACTTCAGGATGCTCTAAGCTGCTTCCACCTTTTGCAATCAACTCAGGAAAATTTGCCAAGACTCCAAGTCAAATAATTTTGGTCTACTTAAAACTGTTTAAAAAATGGGGTGACTACTCACTTCTGATTCCTTCTGAAGAGATCAGGAGAGCTGCAGCAGAACCAGGAGCTTCCCCAAACTCCATCCTTGAAGATGATTTCTGCGGAAAAGTGGGAGCGAGAAAATGAAACATCGATGGTAGGGCTCTCTCAATTGATTCAGGTCTCTTTTCATCAAAAGTTTTTATACATTTCTTGAGTTTCTTTCCCCAAAACTTTGGGTTACCACTTGACCTCAGCAATGAAGAAAACATTGGAGTTTAAAAAGTTCAGGCCACTTGACATGGGTATTTCTTCTAAGGAAATACCGGCCAGTATGTACAGTAAGAAAATGCTGGAAATAGCCTAAATACCAAGAATAGATGAGTGGTTAGATAGACACTGGTGTACTCACAGCAATAGACTTACTGCTATGGTAGTAGCTCAGCAGTGGTAGAGCCATACTTGGAAACCAGTTCTGAAACCAGACACACTGCCTTCCACATGGAGAAAATGAAAGGCATTGCTCAGTCACCTCATAAGGGCTGGTTTCCTCTGCAAACAGCAAAACAATCTGGTGAAGCAGCTTTTGCTAAACAGTTTATATCATCAAGGTGAATGGATACTTTCATTTTAATAATAACAAACGTTAGCCCTGATGTTGTGCTCAATTCCGAACAGTGTGCGAAGGTTTAAAATCACCCTCTCCTCCAATTCTCACTCTAGCCCAGGAGGGGGGACCCTGGTATTTATAGTGGGGTGGGCTTTGGTTTGCTCTACTTTGCTTTCCAAACAAAGTTTGGGGGGAGGGTCACCACTGCAGGGGTGTTCACTTTTCAGTTCTTAAATTCCCTGCTTATAATTCGGAAAAACCCTCCTGTTACAGGTAGTAAGTACAGTTAAGTGGCTTGCTCCAGAAATGTAACTGAAGTAGTGAATTTTTTAAATGGCCCACAGACAAATTTTTCAACGAACTCAAGTAAATTGTGTAAGTGAGATGTATGAGACTTCTAACAATCATTAAAATTAAAATTATTCATCGAAACTAAATATTCTTGGATAAAATACAGTTTTTCAAAATGTTATTGATTTAGAAGTTATCCTGAGCCCAGCCAGTGTGGCTCAGTGCTTGAGTGTTGATCTTGAGTGATGTGGACCAGGAGGTCCTGGTCTGATTCCGGGTTAGGGCATATGCTGCAGTTATAGACTTGAATCATAGTTGGGGAGGAGAAGGGAGTGTGGCCTGAAGGAGGCAGCCCATCAATAATTCTCTCTCATCATTAATGTTTCTACCCTTCTCTCCCTCTCTGAAATAAATAAAAATCCATTAAAAAAAAAAGTTATCCTGAGTGTTTTGGCAATTTTGGCAAATTACTTTCTCCTCCTATGTAGATTTTGTACACATCATGAGTAAATGTGGACTTGACCACATCTGCTTGCTTTTGTGTTCCTTTAGCAAGGTTGAAAATCTATTGTCTTTGTGGTACAAATACCTGGGATGGTGGAGAACGTGGCCAGGGGTGTGACCTTCGAGGCCTCTTGAGCCTCTGGTGCCATAGGGTGCTGGGTGGGGTGGTGGGGAGCTGGTGGGTGGGCCACTAAGTGAATTTTTAAAGGAGGACAATGGTCAGCTTGGGGTGGCAGTCAGATCACTCACAAGCCACTAGCTCTTATTTGGAGAGGACTGGTTCAGAAGTTTATCTCTAACGGGAAAACCACGTTTGGCCTGGAGTTTCTAAGAAGAAAAAGGAGGAAGTAGTGCACTCTGAAGATAGAGCCCGAATCCCTTTGCTTAATGACTGGGCCACGAAGACGATGGAGCTGGGCAGTGCTCCACCCCAAGGCCAAAGAGGCCCAAGAGACCCTGTCACTGCCACTGAGATTCCCACTCATTACCACACAGAGCGTGGCTGGCCAGGAGGGGAGGGCGTAGCAAACCCAATGTGCCCTGGAGGGGGCCCTTCACCTGGTAAATCCCTTGACTTCATGAACAGGCCTCTGGAAATGCTAAAACCGCTGTCAACCTTGAAAGGGGGGAATTCCCAGTGAGAATTTATGCAAATGTGGTCCGTCACAGAAAAAAGTATAAAAAGCAAACCATGATTTGGGCTATTTTTGGCTTCGGAAAGAAAGTCCAAGTTCACCTCCAGCTCAGGGTGTGCTCAGGTGTGGACGTGTTTTCACGAGAAATCGCCTTCCTCCTGAGCCCTGGGGATGCCACGCCGAGTGACTCCCCGCCCTCTGCAGGCTGGCCCTGGGGACACTGGAGGTCCCAGTGACCATCACGCTGGGCTGGCCCAGCGCCAAGTAGAGCCCGAGGCCGCAGAGTCTTCACAGGGCACCCCTAGCATCCTCTACCCCAGCCCAGGGGCATATTTTTGGTTGGGTTTCCCACTGTGCCCTCAGCTTGCCCACCAAGGCCTATGCTCCTCCTAGTTTGTCCCAAGAGGCCCGGTTCTGTGTCCCTTTGGGTCCAAGGGTTGGCAGCGGGTGGGCCTGCTACCAAGAGCGGCGGGAGAATAGGAAGGAAAGAGGGAAAGGGGACAGAAAGGCATGGCGTTTTCCTTGCGGTTCCTCTTGGCCCCTGGACAGAACCGCGATGTTCCCTGCCATCAGAGATCCAGCATCCCCAGTCCAGGCTCGGGTGTGCCCTCACCACTGCGCCTCCACGCACAGTCTTTTTTTATTTCTATTTTTATTAGGTATTATATGTGTACATATCTTACCATCGCCCTCCCCCTCCCCCCAACTGCCATTCATGCCCTCCCTCCCCAGAGTTTTGCGTCCATTGTTTATGCTTATATGCATGCATACAGGTCCTTCGGTGGTTGATCTCTTATCTCCTCCAGATCTCCCTCCCCTCCCCGCTGTAATTTGACAGTCTGCTTTTTGCTTTACTGTCTCTGTATCCATCTTTTTGTTTATCAATCCACGCACAGTCTTTTCACCACGAAGATTTGGCCCGCAGGTTAGAGGGTCCCCGCTGCACATCCCCACCCCAGCTCCGGGGCAGACAGGGAGAAGCCACGCTCCGGCCAGGGGCACCGTGGAACCAGCTCCCCGTTGCAGCCTCGCCCAGTCAACCCTTCTCAACTTCCAGTGCCAAGCGCGGTGACACCGGGCAGGGGTGGAGAGGGCACCGTCACAGTACAGGCGGGTGGCAGGCTCTTCCCACGCACCCCCCACCCCACCCCCAGGCCAGTGGACAAGTCTCAGGAGCACCGTGCCAGCCACAGCTGGTCCGGGTCCTGCGTGCCTTGGGGGCTCCGTGCACTTTCTCCTCCGAGCTGGGCTCGCAGACCAGAGGGGCACGATCTGCGGCTGAGCCCCGGCCGCGGCGCCCACGGGGAACTTTCCTGCCCCCGCAGCGGCTTGTCCGCGGGGCCCCGCGCGCCCCCGGGGTTCCCCGGCCCGAAGCCAGGGACGGAGATGGCTGAGGCCAGGGATGGAGATGGTTGAGGCCAGGGATGGAGATGGCTGAGGCTAGGGATGGAGATGGCCCGGAGTCTAGACACACGGGCTCGAGGCTTCCGACGCCGAGTGACTCCCCGCCCTCTGCGGGCGGCAGACGCCCGGGGCGGCGCCGGCTCCGGCGGTGGATGTTCCCCACGCGCACGCGGGCTCAGCGCGGCCACCGGGGCCCGCCCGCCCCCTCCGCTCCCCGGCCCCCGCCCCGGCGTCCCGGGCCGAGCGGCGGCGGCTCGGTCCCCGCGCTGCCGGGAAGCCTCGGTACCTAACTTTTGTCGGAAACCGGCCGCGGGGCAGGGGGCAGGGAGAGAGGACGCCGCCTCCCGCGCCTGGGCCCGCCCCCCCCCCCCCCCCCCCGGCGCCGGGAAAGCCCCCGCGCCCGCCCCGCCCCGCCCCGGGCTCTCCGCTCGGTGACAGTCCGCCCGCCGCCCGCCCGGGACGCGCAGCCCGCGCCCCGCTCCCCGGAGCCGCCGGGACCTCGGAGCGCCCGCCGCCGGCATGGTGCTGCTGGCCGGGCCCGGGCCGGAGGGCGGCGGCGCGCTCCGCGTGGCCCCGCAGCCGCCGACCCCGCCGCGGGGCGCCAAGGCCCGGGAGGACCCCGCCGCCGCCGCCGCCGACGAGGAGGAGGAGGAGTACGAGGACTTCTCGCGCCTGCCCGACACCCGCAGCCTCGCCTCGGACGACTCCTTCTACCCGGCCCCGAGCCCGGAGGAGGAGCGCGGCGCCGGCGGCGCGGACGGCGGCCCGGAGGCAGTCCCCGAGGGCGGCCCGGAGGCGGCCACCCTGCTGCGCGCCGCCCGCGCCAACGACGTGGGGCTCCTGCGGGCGCTGGTGCGGCGCGGGCTGCGCGCGGAGGAGGCGCAGGAGACCGACCCCAACGGCCGGGTAAGCGGCGTGTCCGCAGGGTCGGGGCTCCTCCATCAACCCCCCGACCCCCCATCCCCTGTACCGCGCGAATCCCCACTCCGCCCGGGTCCCCCCGCGGAGACCTGGCCGCGGTGCAGAGCGCCCTCTCCTCGCTCCGGGGCGAGAGGCGCGCGGAGCCCGGTGGCTGCCCGTCCTGGGGGGGGGGGGCACACTTGTCCGAGGTCACAGCTGTGCGCACCTCACCGGACCGGGCGCGCCCCCCTTCCCCGCCCCGGGGTTCCCTGGGCCCTGAATTACGCCCCCACCCCCCGGGCTTGCGCCGGATGCGGGCGGGTGGGAAGCCTCTCCTTGGCCTCTCTCCCGCGGGTCCCCTCGGACCGTCCCTTTCCTCTCCTGAAGGGACAGCCCCTTCCTCCCAGCGCCCACGGGGCCATCTCCGAATTGGTGCCCCTGCCACCAGCCAGGGCCACCTCCGACCCGGTCCTCCCCTTCCCCCTCCCGCCTGGGGCAGGGCTGGCGCCCAGGGTATGGGCGGGCGGCGGGCGGGGTGGGGCGGGGAGAGGCACTGGGTAGGTATCCGTTAGGAGAGTTCAGACTCAGCGCCGGCGAGAAACGTTTAGAAAAGGAAAGAAAAAGTTGGCTTGCACAGACTTGAGGGCTGGCTCGCCAAACACCACCCACCAAGCGCTTGGAGGGGGAAAAAAAACAAACAAAAACCGCACCGAGGGGCCCCCGTGGCCACGCGTCCGCGAGTCTGTGCCGTGTGGCCACGCCGCGGTCCCACCGGTCAGGCTGCGGGTGCTGTGGCTCCCGAGCCGCGGCTGAGAGAAGATGGTGCTTTCCCCTGGGCCTTTGGGTTAGCTCAGGAGCGGGAGTGTGGTCCAGGGGGAGGAGGAGGTTTGTCTTCCTCTGTGGTCTGGGCGGGGCTTTGGCAGGGGGAGCTGGAGTGTCCGACTCGCGCTTGGGGAAGGGCGTCAGACAGTGCTGGCCCCGGTTTCCTAGGGCTGCAGGGGCCAAGGGGGGCAGCATCGCCTTGGTCCTGCCAGGACCCTGGGCAGTGCCACACCCTCGCCCTCCCTTTGAGCTTCTCTTTCTCCAGCTCTACTTTCACTTTTTCAAGGTGAGTTTTCTATAATACATGCAGATGTCCCTATCAGAGACTTCTTCCCTGAAGCCCACCGGGATCGGGAAGAACAAAGGCGGAGTGGATCTCTCCCATGTGCTGGGCAGCCCTGGGGCTCCAGGGGGCTCAGGGAAGGGGGGGGGGCAATTGCAGCGCGTGGCTCGCCTAGCCCCCGCCCTGAGGCTCCACTGGGCTCCTATTTATTATGTTCGTTTTGGGGGTAAAGAAATAAAAGTTTGAAAACAGAGCCAAATGAGAATAATGGGGGCGTGGGCCTCTCAGACCCAGTTTCTGGGCAACTTTTGAGAGCCCCTCCCTCCGCACCGAGTGAGGAGCGGGCAGTGGGACGGAGAGGCTGGAGGCTCTGCCTCTGCTTTCTTCTTGTAAACAGGTCCCTGCGCTGGGAGCCTGAGATGCCCTAACACAGGGCACTCCGTGTGGCCCCTGTTCACCGTCACTGCCCTGCCTTCTCCTTGCTCTGACAAGTGCATCCTCCACCTCCTGTTGTCTCGCGCCAGGCCCAGCTTGTTCTCCTGGCTTTTCCCTTGGTCAAGAGCCCTGTGCTTCTCTGCTTTGTAACTCCTCCTCTCTGCTCCCCACCAAATCCAGGTGGAGAAATGACACACTATCAGCCAACCACATGGCTCTGGGGGTCTGTGTCTCCTGGTCAGAAGGAGCCAGTCCTGTGTTCTGTGCTCTGAGGAGGGCAGGAGAGAGCTTCCGATCTTCCCATGACTTCCAGGTGCTGTTGCCCAGTCTCCGTCTTTCTGAAAAACCGAGAGAATAAAATGTCCCATGTGCAAATGCATGACCCTATGGCGCGTGGAGTTGAGTCACCGCGCAGGGGTTCACTGCAGACTGACTGTGTGCAAGGCACACACGTGTTAGGTATCCTAGGAGACTCGGAGATGAGCCAGCCTCTGCCTTTGAGGGTCTTAACCTTTTAGATAAGGAGAGAAGCACTCGGAGAGCGCCTCCATGCTTAGAGACAAACCTCCTTGCCCCCTGAGATAAACCAAAGGCACAGGTCCCACCAGTTGCTAAGTAAAATCACATGTCTCTGTCAGCTGCGCCCAGTCCAGAGGCAGGATGGGAAAAGGTACGAGGGACAAGTGTCTTGGATGCAGGCAGCTGAGAACAGTGCTGGAAGCCTCGTGAGGGGAGTCTTTTGGAGGCAGTGGCAGGCAGGTGCCCTGTGGTTGGTTGTGGTGTGGCACAGAGCGGAGAATGTGGGAGCTCAGCTGGAGAGGCTGATCCGGGCCAGGTGATGAGGGGCCGGGCTAGAATAGCTGGCTAAGAAATAGGACATTGGAAACAAACCGGCTTCAGGCACGGGAGTGTATCCCATGGTGTCCACAAAATACCACGGCCTGGGTGAGTCTGTTTTGAAGAAGTGGCATTAGAAGAAGTTTAAGTTTAAAAAATTTGGCATGGGAGTGTCCAACCTTGGGGCCACCCATGATGCTCACTCAGGTTCTTTTATTTTTTATTTTTTTTATTTTTTAATATGTTGGTTTTTTACAGAGAGGAAGGGAGAGAGATAGATAGTTAGAAACATGGATAAGAGAGAAACATCGATCAGCTGCCCCCTGCACGCCCCCTACTGGGGATGTACCCGCAACCAAGGTACATTCCCTTGACTGGAATTGAACCCGGGACCCTTCAGTACGCAGGCTGATGCTCTATTCACTGAACCAAACCAGTTTTGGCCTCACTCAGCTTCTTATGGGAGGGTCACCTTCTTCAGAGGGTATTTCCTCTTACTCTATCTAAGCCAGTAGCACCTGGAGCTGGGTAAGGGCCATCCAGAGTTGGAAGGTGGTTATTTGAGATGGTAGCTGGCATTTAACTGAAGATATAGAGACAATATCTGGGGGAAAGGGACTGGCAAATGCAAAGGCCCTGAGGCAAGAGCCCTTGGGCCTGGTCTACACGTTCCCAGGGTTAGTGACAGTAAAAACCTCACAGGAAGCCCGAGAGCTTTGGCGGAGTAGAGGAGTCGTTAATTGCACTAATACAGCTCACAGCCAGCTTTCTGGAGGAAAAATGTCTCTAAGGGCTTTTCTGAGCCGTGTTTGTGGAGCTGCTGGTCTCTGGTCATTTAAGAAGGGAGCTCTGTCCCTCTCTGACAGATGTCTCATTGGATTTAAGTAACTGAGGATCACATGTGTTTTGCTTAAGAATATATGGTCTTCCCTGGCTCCTGAGACTGGGAGAAAACTGGCTGTGGCTCAGCACACAATTATGCTTCTGGAATATTTATTGCTCTAAAAGGATTGCATAATTTAAGGTGCAACATGTAAATATATGTGCAGTAATTCTCTCGTAACAGTCCAAGTGCGCTCTCGCTGTCTTTTAGACTGATGGTTGTTTTGTTCCCTTGGAAGTAGGGACAGTGAAAGCTGCCATGATTCTTCTTCTTAATTCTTCTCTGGTTACTTATTATCTCCGGAGGCGCACCTTTCCGGTGACGGCCCTGGAGACAGCACTGTGACCCAGGGAAGCGTGCTCGCTGTCTTCACTTCAGGAGTGTCAGCACGTCTTGAACCAAAATAGGCAATTATGCTTCGCTGAGAACATGGCACTCCTTTCTTGGTGTCATTCTTCTCAGACGTGTTTAGGGTCCAGGGTCTCCGTGGCACTTTGCAGAGGTCCCTCCACCCACTTGCTCTATCGACTAACTCCGTGGTCGGCAAACTGTGGCTCGTGAGCCACATGCGGCTCTTTGGCCCCTTGAGTATGGCTCTTCCACAAAATACTGGGTGAGTCTATTTTGAAGAAGTGGCATTAGAAGAAGTTTAAGTTTAAAAAATTTGGCTCTCAAAAGAAATTTCAATCGTCGTACTGTTGATATTTGCCTCTGTTGACTGATGAGTTTGCCGACCACTGGAGTAGCTCATCCCGCACCCAGTATGGGGGTGTCTCCCTTTCCTCTTAAAGGGTTCCCATGCTTTATTGATTCGTCGTGGTGATTGGGACCTTTGTCTTGACAGATACATTTGGTTGGTTGGTGGTGGTGTTTTGAAGGCCACAGAAGATGTAGAAACTTTGGACTCACCTTTTCCTACAATGAGAACCAAGTTGTTTGGCATTCACACCCGGCCCTCCTGCATTTCCCAGGCCTCTAGTATAATGATAAATATACCTGCATGTACACTAGTGAGCAGACAAAGGGAGCCCTCCAATACATATGTTGAGGGCCATCAGTCCCAGAGACAACGGGTGAGAAGGGAGAAGGGGGCCCAGGGGCTGGCGCAGAGAAGTGTGTCAGCTGAAGTGAGCCCAGTAAACCTGGGCTCGCTGGGCAGGCTGACAGATGTCTGCCTCTTCCTCCTCCACTGACCATGGCCGGGGTGGAAAGACCCCTGTGTGTATGTGTGGGCTTTTAATTTTTTTTTTAAGACCTGTTTTAGGTTCACAGCAAAATTGAGGGGAAAGTACACAGATTTCCTATATACCCTGCCCCCACACATGTCCAACCTCTCCCATTCTCAGCATCCCCACCTCACGATGTAGATCCATTGGAATCTACATCGAACTGTCATTATCCACCAAAGTCCATAGTTTGCATTGTGGTTCACTCTTGGTGTATATTCCATGGGTTTGGACAACTGTATAATCTGTATTTATCATCATATCATAAAAAGTATCCCATGTGTTTTTATAGAAGTCTGTCAGTTATGTAACTGAATGCTGCATAACAAGTAACTGAAACCTCACTGATGTTTACAACGGCAGACATTTTTTAAGTTAAGCTTGGCCCAGCTCAGCTGATCCTGCTGGACTTGCATTCAGCTGGGGTCAGCTGTGGCTGGCAGGCCCAGGAAGGCCTTGGCTGGGGTCACTGCTCCATGTGGCAACTCATCCTCCAGCAGCCTGGCCCGGGCTCATTCTC